GCCTCTTGTGTTCCTCAGAGGCTTTGCCCTCAGCTCTAGGGACGCTTGGCGGTCGGGGGGATGGGATGCGGGTGAGTGAGCCACAGTGAGATGTGCTGTGAGTGGGGCCGTCCTTGTGAATCCCCAACCTTCAGTGGTGCCTTCTTGGCCTGAGAACCTATGGCCTGAGCTCAGCCTGTCAGCACAGGCTTCTCGAACCTTCTGGGGGGGAATGTTTTGCAGACTATCTGGGCCTCGTGTCTTTCCCCATCTTTGCTTCTCCCCTCTTGGAAGTTAGAGTAGAAAACTGGGCCTTAGGAGGTGAGAAGGGCCAACCCAGGAGACAGCACTCATGAAGAAACAGGGAGACAGAAGGATCTGTGATTTGGGGTGGTGGGAGGAGGAGAAAGGGATGATTCATGGCAACTGAGTTCTTTTCTGGAGAATGTGAGCTTCAGGTTCTTAGGCCAGGGTCTCTGACAGATTTGTTGGAGTGACCTCAGCAATGATTATCAGGGGAAAGATCCGAGGGAGGAGATGGCTCAAAGTTACTTCAAATACTCCTTCCCATAAAGATGAGTTTTCCTCACTACAATTAGTCCACTAGCTTTTAATAGTCCTTTTTAGGATTATTAATTAGGATGTATTTGATGTAAACATTTAGAAAACTCATCTCCCATAAACTAGAAGAACGTGCTTGAAGGTTCCTCATTTTCGCCTTCCCAGCAAGCCTCTTTGGCTTCTGGAAGGACTTGCTATTTACAACGGACCATCTGCCCCGGGGCTCCTTTTACAGTTAGGATTATTCCTAAAGGGGAAGAAACCTTACCCCTTCCCGTGTGGGTCTCCAGGTGACCATGGGGGTGGGGACAAGCCTCCGTACAGGCCCAAATGCAACAATTAGGCAGTGTAACACGGCTGGGTATGGGCATGGTGGTTATCCTGAGAAACTTCTGGAAGCTTTCAGAATCCATCCCTTCATTCATACCGAGGTTTCCTGCAGTATCAGCAGGTGTCACTGGCAGTGCCTGTGAATATATGTAGTCAGCCCAGGGCCTGTGAGGAAGGCAAGGGTCTGGGGGGCTCTCCAATTCCCCCCAATCCCCAATAAATGAAGCACCACCAGCAGCTGCATCTCCTGATGGCCTGGTCCCCAGCTCCTGTGGCCTTGGGGGTATGCTAGCCAAACTGAGAAATAAGATTGCAGTCCACGTGCTGCTCCTTGGAATATCAGCCCACGGTAGAATCCGAGGCATGGATGAAAAGGGACTTTGGAGATGAGAGGGTCCAAGTCTGGGTCCAAGCCCTGCACTGACACTAAGGGCTTCTGCTCCCCTTTGTTAATGTGAAGGTGGTGACGTCCCTGTACTCCTGGGAGAGGAGCGAGTAGAGAATTGTCAGAGGGCTCCGCAGCCCCGGCCTACTGCGGCAGGTGAGGAACTGGGGACCCCACCCTGTCAGGCCGGTCCCTGTGGTGCGATCAGACCCTTTCTATGAGTGCTCATCCCTCCACGTCCCTGGATCACTCTCTACCCCCAGGCTGGGGCAGTTCCTCAAGAACCAGCTGCCATAGAGGCCAGAGAACTTCATCATTGCCCTAAGCAGCAGCTCTGCTTTTCTGGGTTCATCTTGGGGTAGTATGAATGCTTTAAACAAGGGCAATAATTTTCTACTTAGAGGGCCACTGATTCATTTTCAGGCTGCGTGTCTGCTTCCCACTCCCTGGGTGGCTTGTAGTTTCAATTTCCTGTCCCTCCCTTGCTTCTTACATATCACAATGCTCTGATGTCCCAGACCTGGTTCTTTCTGGCTCTTTGTTAGGAAGTACCTCTTTGTCTTGATTAAGCAGCAGTGCTAGGCAGCATGTTCCCAAAGAGCCACTGGGGTTATGGTCTCTGCCTGGAAGAACATTCTGTCCATCTTTCCATCTCTGGTCCCACCTTCCTGAGCCAGCAGGTTCAGTGCCAGGTTACTCTGGTATAGACAAGAAGAATTGGGGGAGCTTCCCTGCTGAGGCTGGTAGGGGTGCCCTGGGGCTACTGCTGGTCCCTCTGCTTCCCAGCTTGCTCGAGAGTTGAAACCCTTCTGAAACTTTTTAAAACATCCAAGAACCCTCTCATGGGTCCCTGCTCTTCACTCTCCCCCAAAACACACCTGGCAGCAGTGAATACAGAGAAGCAGCAGGTTTTTTCTCGGCAGCAACCACTTTGCGTCCTGACTTTGTTTCCCTGCCCCTGGTGCCAGATGATATTGAAGGCCATGCAGCCTGAGCTGCACTGACCTTTCCCTCAGTCCTGGTACAGCAGAGCCAGGACCATGCGGGGTGCTGAGGAAGCAGAGGCAATGGTGGTCACAGAGGTGACCCTCATGCTCACACTACCAGCCCAAGTCACGTTCCCCAGCCCTGTCCCCGGGGAGGGGAGGACAGAACTGTGGGGGAAGGACAGGGGACCAGTGAGCTTGATGGGGTATGAGGTGTCCAGGGGCTCCATAGCAGTGACTCTGCCTCTCCACTGCCACCTTCTCCCCTCCTCCGGGGGTCTCTCCTCCCTGGGGGGTAAATCTTACATCTTGGCAAGATAACAACCCTCCCCTTAAAACAGACAGGAGAGAAAAGCCCTATACCCAAGGTGACATGTAACTTATATTTGGAACCCAAATGTTTCAATGGATGACCAGACATCCTGGTTTGCCTGAGACTAGGACTCAGGGTTTCTCAGGATATGGACAGCTGGTCACCGTGCTTTTGAAAATGAAAAGGTACATGACTATTCATTCCATTTACAGTACTTTGATTTTCCTTACAATTTCTTCTTTGACCAATGGATTGTTTAAAGGTGTGCTGCTTAATTTCCAAATATTTAGAAATTTTCTCTAGTTTTTTTATTTCAAGTGCAATTCCATTTTGGTTAGGGAACATTCTTTATATGACTTTTAACCTTTTTCAATGTATTGAAACTTGTTTTGTCATCCATCATATGGTCTATTTTGGTGAATGCTGCATTTGCAGGAGAAAAGAATGTATGTTCTGCTGTTGCTGGGTAGAGAGTTCCACAAATGTCAACTAGGTCAAGTTGCTTGACAGCTTTGTTCAGATCTTCCACATCCTTTGTCTTCTTGCACTACCATTTACTGAGAATGGGGTAATAACATTTCCAGCTAGAATAGCAAAACAAACCCAAACCCTCTCCTGATTGGAGGGTTCCTGAAATTAACCATTTGGAGGAAATATGGTAAAATGAACTCACAGTTGTCAAACTGCATTCTAAACTCACTATGATCCCATCACTGCGGGCTTTAGTGGCTAGAAAGATCTAGCATCTCTGTTTGCTTTGGAAGCTTATTTTTGCCGAGGTTGTTATCACCAAGTAGGCGCCAGAGCTCTGTTCCACTCGCAGTTCAACTACGGTGAAATTCAGACAATGAACTTGTGTACTCCCCTTGTAAGAACGTCCAAACGGAATGCTTTGCACTGGCCAGAAGCAAAGTCTCGGCCTCTTTTGATATGTGAGACCTCAAGGAAGCTTTCTCTATCCCAGACTTGGAGAACTGTGTTGAACTGGAAAAGGGATCAGGGAGGCCCACCCCAGGCCAGGCCTCCGGTTTTCTTTCCACTGCACTGTCCACTTCACCACCCAGTTCCTCCCTGTGATTGGCCGGGGGAGCTGCTAAAAGGGAGGCCAGAGGGTGGCTTTGCCCTGATGCATCCCCACCCTACAGACTCGAGGGAAGAGGCAAAGCTGGTAAAACAAAGCAAGGTCCACTCCTGCTCTTGCCCACGACAGAGGACCTCCCGTCTCTCCTCCTTCCTCCAGGCTGCAGGTCTGGCTGCTCTGCCTGCAGCTCTCTGAGTGTGGAGCCTAGGGCTCTCTGGTCCTTCCTGTCCCCACCCCATGCTGGAGCTTGATATTAAAGAGGCTGGAGAACAGAGTGGGCAGTGCTCTCACCCCATCACCCACAGAGAGGTTTCTGGGTCTGACTTCCCTTCTCCAGATGGAAGCATTTGGCCCCGTGGTTCTAATATCTCATGAGCTGTATACCTAGACTGGATTTCTAAATCTGGCTAGAGAGAGACTGAGATTGAGCCATGCTACTCTCTAAAATTGCCATAATTTGACCTGGCAGTCCTGGGCTTCTGAGGTGGCTCAGTGGTAAAGAATCGACCAGCAATGCAGGAGATGTGGGTTTGATCCCTGAGTTGTGAAGAGCCTCTGGAGGAGGAAATGGCTACCCACTCCAGTATTCTTGCCTGGGAAAAATCCCATGGACAGAGGAGCCTGGTGGGCTACAGTCAATGGGGTCACAGTCGGACACAAATGAGCGACTAAACAACCACCACCTGGCTTTCAGTAGTGAAAGCTACTTTCACTCTGGCTCATGCATGTGCCCTGAGCTGTTTCAGAAATGCTAGGTGTGGGGTCTTAATAAAGAGGTTTGTTCGAAAGCAAAAAATGATTTTGATTCACTTTGTGTTTAACTCTGTCTATACCTGATCACCATTCAGAACTGCTGCCCCAGTTCTCTCCTCTCATTTTCACAATCACAGGCAAAAACAGGGGTGGAAGATTCCACCTAGATTGTTGCTGTCCTCGAAAGTGGACAGTGGAGCAAGAGGCCTGGGTTGAGTCCCTGCTCTTGCTGCTTGCTGGTTGTACAACTTTGGGGAAGTCCCTGACCTTTGTGCAGTATGAGGGTGACCTATTGTCTCTGAGAGCACCTGTCGCTAGGGTGCAGTGCCTGGTGCTCCCTAAGTCTGTACAGATGTAATGGATGCAGACAATGTCATCACAGGGTGGTGGGAAGAGCACTGAGGCTGAGACTCGGGAGACTGGGCCTGGCTCTGCCTCCTACTGGGGGTGTGAGGCAGATTCTGAACCTCAGACTCTCAGGTCTGGTGGCTGTAAAATCGCAGTGACAGTGGACCCTCCCTCTGGGGTGGTTGTTAAGACCCAGGGAAATGAGCTCGCAGACTGTTTCCCACACACACATCAGGCTAAATCTGTTTTCTTCCCCCTCCCTAGGCACACATTCTGGCAGTTCCGCCATGATAACCCGAAGACGCGGGTCGGGAGCCCTCCCCCCGAGGGGCTCCCAGGCTTCAACAGTGGGGTGATGCTGCTCAACCTGGAGGCCATGCGCCAGTCCCCACTGTACGACCGCCTGCTGGAGCCGGCGCAGGTGCAGCAGCTGGCCGACAAGTACCACTTCCGGGGTCACCTCGGGGACCAGGACTTCTTCACCATGATCGGCATGGAGCACCCCGAGCTCTTCCACGTCCTGGACTGCACCTGGAACCGGCAGCTTTGCACCTGGTGGAGGGATCACGGCTACAGCGACGTCTTCGACGCCTACTTCCGGTGCGAGGGCCACGTCAAGATCTACCACGGGAACTGCAACACCCCGATCCCAGAGGCCTAGGCCCCGCCCCGCCCGCCCGCCGTGCCCTCGGGCTCAGAATCTGGGCACCTCTCGGGCAGGCCCGGGACAGCATTTGGACTCCTAGAGAGACACTGAAGGACGTCCTTGTGATCAGGTGCTGCGGCTCTCCCACTCAGGGGTGCTGTCTGAGGCCGCCCGGGGATGCCTGGCCTGCACCCCACTGGTGCTCTGGACCTTTTGCCTCCAGGAGCCAGACATTGTGAAGAACACACACACAGACCTCTTCCGGTGGGCTAGGAAGCCAGTGTTTGAAAAGAATGAAGAAAACAAAACAGTGCCCCTTGCCTTCAGCCCCCAAAGGCTGGAAATCCTTTTAAGAACTGGGCTTTCATAGACCAAATATAAATTTACTTTAAATCGACAGGTGAAACAGAACAAACAGCACTGCTCTAGCTCCTAGTGAGCTCTAAATGCGTGAGCCAGGGTTTACCAACCAACCCAGAGTTTAAGCATCCAAAGGAATGCTAGCCTTCCACACACACACTTGGGAGGCTGTGTGGTTATTCTCACAATGCTCCTGGCACCTGGTGCAGGTGTAAAGATCACCACCAACTGTGGCCATATAAGAAACCTGGTCTCATTATTTGAGCCTTCACAGCGTTCATCTCCCAACTGCATCACAGAACCTCATTATCCCTTAATCATCCAAGCCAGCTCCAGGTGACCAGACTCTGCTCAGAGATCAAATCTGCCATCAACGAACAGTGATTGGCCAGCCCCAAGCACAGGATTGTCTGGATTGGGAAGACTCATTCCAAAGAGGAACCAGCCCAGTGGTACCGGAATGTAACCTTGCGACTTGGCAGGGATGTCACTCTTAGACATTCTAACCTTTTATTCAGAAGAATCATCCTCGTGACTTTATTGCCCCAGGTGAGACTCCATACCTTAGAAGAAAATTAGGTTGTCAATTCTTGATTTCTGCTTTCTGAGTTCTCCTGTAAGTGAGCCGTAAAAATGAAGCCCATAGTGGTCCATTCTGTATAATCCAGCTGAGGTTCTTGGGGAAGAAATGTTGGCTTTTCATCTTTTATCAGTTTCATTTACTATCTTTTTTTTTTCTACCATGAATGAGAACAGCTAATAAATAATCTTTGAGAACAGAGTGATTTATGCTGTTTGCTCTCTGATCAGTTTCCTGAAGGACCTGAATCAAGAGTGTGATCAGTGTCACTCAGAGTCTCCCTCCCCACATGACTATCTAAGCATGCTTCCAGTGGGTCTCTAGGGCCTAAGAGGGAGAACGTCTGAAGAAGGTTGTATTGGACTCAAAACAAAGAATCATTTCATTCTAGGTATTGACAGGCCCGTCTGCTTCTGGGAGCAAAACTGCCCCCCATCAGTTCTCATCTGCTTACCCCTAAGTACCTGGCTACGTTGTCCCCAGATGAAATGGTGCCCATGTCTCTCCTAACTCTCGGCTCTGACAGAATAGGACTGTTCTGTTAGGTACTTGACTTCCTAGTTATAGCCACCGAATATTGAATGCCTGCTGTGTGCCAAGCATTGTATTATGTGTGTGATCACACACAGTAAGATTCACGAAGATAATTCAGGTTCTAAAATTTATTGTAAGAAAATAACAAGAGATGTGGACAGAGTCATTGTTTATCACAACCTTTTTATAATAGAAAAAAATTGGTAGTAACAAAATGCTAAATAGAGTGGATAAGTAATGTGTGTTATAACTGTATAATGGAATACTTTAGGCATTACAAATTTTTTTGAAAAATAATGCCTTGAAAAATGCTTATAATATGCTATTAAGAATGCAAAATATAAAATTATATGTATTATTGATCCTAATTTTATTTTTTAAATTACATTATGGTATGTAAATATATTGAGACAGAGCCTGTTCTGTTTCATTAGTTCAATGCCTAAAAAAAAATTATGTTTCAAACACATTAAAAAACAATTATTTTAATGAGGAAAAGTGAATGAAACACTAGAGCATTTTACACTCACAATAGCAAAGTATTTTTCCTGCAGTAGTTTCAATAGTTAAAATGTTTCTATAGCTTGAGTGGACTTTATCATTGCAAGGAAAAAGCAATAAACTGATCAAAATGGGCACAGGCCAAACAAAATCTTGTTTACCTTTGCAATTACCTACGAAGGAGCGTCCCCCTTCTCTGTCTTGAATAACCTGGACCTTACAACTCCATGGTGAATAGCAAAATAAAAAAGGAAACCCAGCCAGACCAACAAAGCCATCATGTGCTCCTGAGTTTCCACAAGCAACTTTTTGACAAATCCTGGAAGGCTTGTTCCTGACTGGGATCCTGTTATAAGCAAGGAAACTGACCCAGTATTCTTGCCTGGGAAATCCCATGGACAGAGGAACCTGGCGGCCCACAGTCCCAAGGGATCACAAAAAAGTTGGATACGACTTAGTGACTAAATAACAACAAATGATTAATGTAGTGCAAAAATAACGGTGCTGTTTAATTTGCCTTGTGAGTGGAGCATAGGCCTGTAGATATGATTGGAACTGAAGTCCAAAAAGAGAACCTTTCTGGGTAGTAGGATTAAGATACTTTTTAATCTTTATCTTGTATATTTTCCATAATGAAACAAACAGTAAAGGCTGTAAAATTCTAGCCACACACCTTCCCTCCAGTTACAGGCAAGCATCATTCTGACCACCTTACAGTTCACTGTTGGCCCTGGTTACTGTCATCCATAAAAAAATAATCTTGGGTAAACAGGATCTGGGTTTTCTACTTTCCCTATGGATGCCCTAGTTCTCCAAATAAAAAATCTAATAATAGCATCTCCAGACTCTGCTTTCACTTCTGATATTGTCATCTTTTGTGTGTACATATATGACAATGGCCTTTGGGAAACTTGCGGGCTTATTAAAGAGATTTATTTTTGTATGTGTCAGAACCAAACTACAGCATCCCCCTTTCCATAACATCTTATCAAGGTACAGTGTGCATGATGGTGCAGTGGGGCTCACTGGCTTGGGGGGCAAGTGCAGCTGGGTTTGGCACCTGCTTTAACCAAAGACTCTGCTCATCATCAGACCTGATCTCAGCATGGAGACCCAGCGTTGGGCTGAACATGGAGTCTGGCAGGACAAGCAGAGATTTCCAAACAAGCAAGGTAGTGCCATAGAGAGAACCTGTCTCCTGAAACAGGCCTGATTGTGAGCCCATGTTCTCCCCCAACCCCCTGGGCCATCTTGGACAAGCAAGATTGCTTCTTTCCTCATTTATAGACATAGATAGCAAGAACTCTCTAAACAGTGTTGTTGGAAGCAAAGAGATGTGTCAGGTTGAGAAATAATACATAAAGGCAGGGGAAATCTTAAGAGCTACTACTTAAAACACTCTTTTAAAATAATAAACAAGCCATTTGGGGTACGTTAAGTGTCATCCCTAAACCCAGTGCATGATCAGATGCTTGCTTGTAGGCTATCCAATTTTTTTTTTTTTTAGCATGCCAATCTGCAGAGGCCTAGGTGTGTCCAGGAGGTTGGGGGTCCCTGGGTAAACCCCTTCCCCCTTGGTTTGGTTTTTTCATCTGTGAAAACAAGGGGGTAGGGACAAGCCTCAGTCTCTGAGCAGCACCCTGCCCTGGCTCTGTTGGGAGTAACGTTTGTCTGCATTCATTGGTCTGCTCACGGCAGGGAGTTAAAACCAAATGCAGAAACTCCAGACCTCCACTCAGTCACCAACCTTGGGTTTATGACCATCCAAACTGAAACTCACTCAAAAGGTACTGTTAACATGCCCCCACCCTGAAAATTGGGATAGGCAAAAGAAAACAGACAAACTGGGGGGTTGGAATGGCATTTAAAATCCAGAGAGAACAAATTGCCTTCCCTGAGCCCCCGCCCCTCTGCTTATAGCCTACTGATTTAGCTATGGCAGCTAAAATCTCATCTGAGCTTTTGGCTTATGTGACTAGGTCCCACCCTCTGCTTATAGCATACTGATTTAGCTATGGCAGCTAAAATCTCATCTGAGCTTTTGGCATATGTGACTAGGTCCCAAAGGGCCTCCCAGTCAGAACTGCTCTAGAGATGGGTCTCACTCAAGGGTCTCACCCTGGGTGGGTGGCCTGAACCTTGAGCCCCCGACCTGGGATCCCAGTGGAGGTGTCTCAGGACACATTGAGTGGACTGGCTAGCTACCCCCTGACGTGCCTGCAAAGATCAGAAACCCTTCTGCAGTGAAGGCCTCTTTAACTGGGGCTGGCTCCGCTCCCAGGGTGTCTCCAGATAGACCCCCATTCTGAGGGAGACCTGTCTGCTCCACACAGACCCCGCAGCTGTGTTGAGCATCCCACATACTCAGTGACTTAGAGGCCGGCTGCCATCTCCAGCACCCCCTTCCCTGATGGGTTTTTTTCCAGTCCTTCCCTGAGCCTCACTTCCTGCACACAGGCCTAAGCAGGATCATGATGCGTGGAGCCCAGGGTGTTTCTGGCCCCAGTGTGGAAACCTTCTGGGTGCCAAAATCAAGTCAAAAAGAAAAGATAATTTGAACAGATTGATTGCCAGAAGTGAAATTGAATCTGTAAGTTAAAAAAAAAAAAAAAAACCCTGCAAACAAAAGTCCAGGACCAGATGGCTTCACTGGGGAATTCTACCAAACATACAAAGAACTTACACTGATCCTTCTCAAACTCTTCCAAACAATTGAAGAGGAGGGAACACTTCCAAAGTTATTCTATGAAGCCACCATCACCCTGATACAAAACCAGATAAGAGACACTACAGATAAACAAAATCACAGGTCTTTGATGAATATCTTTGATAAATATAGATGAAAAATTCTCTATAAAATGTGAGTAAACCAAAGCCAACAAAACAATAGATCATAAACAATGATTTAGCTGGATTCATTCCAGGGTTGCAAGCATGGTTCAACGTATGCAAAATCAATGTGACAGACCACATCAACAGAAGGAAAGACAAGAATCACACCAAGCCGCCCCAGGGAGAACCTAGTGGTTACCCCCGGCCA